TCAACCCAAGCATGTTAAATCGCTTCTGCTTTATAAGTTCAGAAAAAAACGTTAATCTGAATGGAGCGACAGGGGAAATATGTGTTGCGATAGGAGCCTCCATTATTTCTCACAACACAACAAGGAATTTGTACCACAAGTTCAAAAATAACAACTTTGACTAGACCGAAAAACCACGATCTGGGAGACTAGTTGACCTGAATGACGACCACCTCCTGGAACTGGTTGAAGAGGATTTCCGGTGTAGTACCCGCGAGTTGAAACAGGAGCTCAATAGCCAACAAGACACAGTAGCTGTCCATTTGCATCATTTTGAAAACACATGGAGATGTGGACAGATGGATAAGTAGTGAGCTGGGAGGTCACCACCTCCAAATGGGTAGAGATTCATGCCTGTACCTGTTGACTTTCCGGCGCACATATTCATGGCTGGAGAACTTAATCACCGGCGACGAGAAGTGTGTTCCCTCAGTAAGACCATACAAGGAAGCGCCAGTGGCTCGGACGTGTAGAGCATGGAATCCCAACCCCCAAGCCGGAACTCTAATATAGGGAGGTAATGCTCAGCGTTTCAAGCCATTCGGAAGGATCATTCACTTGGACTTGCTGCCACCAAACTCCACTTTCAGCACCAAAGCCTTGTGTACTCTGCAAACCTTATTGCTGCAGATCTACGAGAGAAACAGAGGAAAGTCTACTTTCTTTCTTCACGACAAAGCTCGCCCACAATTTCGAAGGAGGCCCAGAAGAAACTTTAAAGCTAGGGATGGCATGTTCTGGCCTACCCACCGCATTCACCACACCTGGCTCTAACGGATTATCATCTGCTCCTGTCGCTGTCAAACCATCTGAGAAATAAGAGGTTCGATGATGTGAATCAACTCGAGACGTGCATCGACGAATTTTCTCTTCGAAACCTCAGAAATTATACTAATAACTCCGGTGATAACGGAGTAAAAATACAGCAAATGTAATAATAAGCGCGGTCGTTACCGCTACGAAATGCAGAGAAAGAAGGTTAGTAAATAAGTATTTATCTAAACGGCACAAAAACCCACGTGCTGAATTTGTTGTTGCGTTAGGTAGAAGTAAAGGACCCACTTATCTCGGGGCCGCTTGACCCCGCGATGGTGATCGTCACCGTAGACGACGATAGGAATTCTATGCAAGCAACATCCACAAGTTGCCTGATAAATGGCCATACCTTGTCGATAGTGACGGTGCATATATATGTTAATTATTAGTGGTCGTCAAGGAAAAAAATGAAAGAAATTGCAAAAGGTGTACATACTTTTCCGCCTACCTAATAATTTCGTATGGGCAAGTATAGGGTCATAGTACAGAGTTCCTCGTTCGCCGACTTCCTCTCTACTTTGTTCAGAAGTTTGTACGTGTCCAATCAGTTTGGAGAAGTGGATAGATCTTTTGTCCATCGTGCTTCCATTGAGAATTTGCACCCTCGTGGAATCGCGATTGTCGTGATCACGCGCATCCACGAGATAAGCAAACCAGACGGTTTGGCCCTTCTGCGGGATGATTTGCTTTCTCTCTGTTTGTTTCAATTTTACTCCCACAACTATAAGAATGAAGTCGCGGTCAATAAGAAACATAAAATATGCGTTAAAGTAAAATTGAAAACAAACAGAGAGAAAGCAAACGCTTTTAGCAGAAGGGCCAAACCGTCTGGTTTGCTTATTTCCTCATCCACGGACTGCCTCGCTCAGCGGTCGCTTGGACCAGGATGTCTAAGGAAGTCGGTAGCAAAGGAACAGATGCTAATCGATTCCCCGCGAATGAAGTGCTTTGGGCAGGTGTTAGCTGGGTGCGTTTCGTTGCGAGCTTGCACGCACATAGTTCACTACACCAGTGGCATACACGTCTAAATAGCTAGTCTAAATACAGCTTTCCATGCAACTTTTGTCAGCATATTCCCAGCCAACCCTAATTTTGTTATTAGTCTGTCCGGAAAGCCTACGCAGTTCCTAGAACTTCCCTTCTCACAAGGGAAGGATACCTGGTCGCAGTGGCCGTTCAGGATGAGATGTGTACCCCCATAGGTGGTTTCGAATGCTTATTTCGAATCTGTGTCCCAAATCTGCGAAACAAAGGCCCACGTTATGCTGCAAGAACGAAACTCCTACATAAAGTTGATGACCACACAACCGTGGAGAACGTTTGATCCTATGAATCATTTGGACCCTTTCTTCTTGATGCCTCTTATGCCCATATTAAGCGGATAGTTAGAATTTAATTTTTTTCCTTTCCAGTATTTCCAAATTGTGAGGGAGCCCCGTAGATGCCCAACACTGAGCCCAAAAATATTTTGCAAGCATTTAGGATGCATTTCATGGAAAAGCAAAACGAGCGCATGCACCAAGGAATCGAACCTTGATGTCATGACACTGTACTAGCCGCTAGGCCACCACTGCACGGTACTGAGTTTGCTCAACTCTGTGTTCCGTTCGGTACAGTGCTATAACATAGGGGAGGCATCGGTCCCGTAACTTTGTTCTCAGAATCGTTCCGCAGATTTGGAACACAGATTTGAAATCAAAACATCTCGCATTACTTCTTCTCGTTCCTCTCCTGGCGTCATCCCCGCACCGTCGCAGGCACCGTTGTTATTACCAATTGTCTCCACTTCTTTCTATCACGTGGAATTTCATATTTCATAAAACATCTCATCTTGAATGGCCACTGCGACCAAGTATCCTTCCCTTGACAGAACAAGGGCGCCTTCAGCTTGGCTTTATAAATATGAGAAGAACAAGTGTACGAGTGTACTAGCAAGACCAGTTGTAAAGTCTGGCATGGTGAAGCTCTGCAAAATGCAAGTTCCGCAGTAGCTGGTTCGTTGCCTTCCGCTGTACGACTTTGATTCTGGTGAATCAGCAGCCTCCCTCTGTCGTCGTACTGTAGCCACAGCCACGGAGGGCACGGTGTTCGAGCGCACAGCGCTATCGTGGAGGAGATTTCAAGCTTCAAGATTCCCCTCGATGCGGACGCCGATCCGAAGTCGACAATGATTGCTGGCTCACGCTGTAGACCTATGTCGAATTGCGAGTGAGCAGAGCGCAAGTCTTCGACGTTCACTTTAGCACCATGTTTAATCACCTCCATCAGCTGGGAGAGGTGCAGGTGTCGACGCGATGGGCACACCATGATTTCGGGATTTGGGGGAGGGGGCGTGCGATTCACGCGTGACCCCAGAGCTCTTTGCGCACGCAGCACGGGACGCACCACACGGCAGATTACGTATGTGACTCATTGCGATCGCTTCACTACCCTTCAGCTATGGATCAAATGAGATGTGCCTCAGTCCATGGCGTCACCGTGAAGTAGTGCAAGTCTCCTTGAAGAGCAAAGTAGTCTCTTCACTTGGGCAATGAAGCTCTTTCGAGATTAAGAATTTTCTTCATTTACTAATTTTTTTGTCAAATGTTCAAAATGAGAGTAACTTCAAAATGTTTTGATCCTAAAAAACGCAGCCCTTCTGTACACCTGCATAGATGATCATTGTTTTACTTGTCATTTATAAGTTCCTACTTCTCTGATGGTAGGCATGATGTCATAGCGCGTCTCGTCCACGCCATCGCACCACCGTAGGCCTCACTCCCTTCACGCAAGAGGCCCTCATTATACTGGCGGGTGGATCGACCAAACCCCATGAATTGACCGAGCACGACAGTCAGCGACGTGCCTTGATGGCCACTAAATTGTTTTTCTACATGAACACGAATGAATGGCTGTGTTCAGTTGTGACAGGAGATTAGATGTGGTGTGTTTGCGTCATATCATGTACCGCCGACACTGGGTAGACAATGGTGAGGAGTCGAGCGATAGTCAAAGCAGTTTTCCGCTCGCGGAAAGACGTGATCCATTTTTGGTGAGGCTGCCAGGGAATCACCATTACAAACTGTTGTCACGCAATTTTACCCTACAGCTGTACTGCCAGCCTAGATGGACTGGTCGCTAAAGTTTCGAAAAACGTCCGCATTATGCCATGATCCGATTCTTGCACGAGAACGCTCGGCCACACACTGGTTGAGCAACTTTTTCGAGTCGAAGCTGATATACTTTTCCATTAAAGGAATCAAAATCCCCCTGAAAGGTGGTGAAGAGCGATGGGGCATAAATGCTATTTCTTCCTTTCTTAAAGGCACTGTTCACGAAAAAATGGTTTCGGAGATCTGCACATGGTTTGAATTCGACGCCCCCTCTGATACCATTTGTGCAGGAATGAGGTCGGAAAACGGTCTGGATATGGCACAATAAGGGCAGGAACAGTGGGGGACGGGAGGCCTCCGCCCCTCGCTAGGCTGACTACGAAATCTAATTGCCGTTCATCACTTTCGCATTGGGCGAAGTTGTCTGCTTGGGTGTGNTTGGGCGAAGTTGTCTGCTTGGGTGTGTTGTCTGCTATTGCAGACACTGCGTCGCCTTCCTGCACTTGCGCGAACACTCCCTTAACCGCCGTTTTTCCAATGTGAAACTCGTCCAACCCCCCTTTCCAGCTCTTTTTTGACCCTTTCTATTTCTTTTTGTTCATCGTTTTTTGCGCTTTTTTCGTTGTTATCGCTTTATTCTAGAGTAGTTCTATGAATTCCAGTCAAAAAAGGTACCCCAAATTTATCGCAAACGCTGCCTCTAAGGGAGAACTCCAACACCATTTTTATCGTGAACTGTGCGTTTGAAACAATGCAATTCTCGAGTGGACTGTTTCCAAGAATTATTAAGAAAATTTGACGCATTCTAAACTCTTTTGGTGTTTTCAGTCCTTTCCGAGAAATGAGAAGTTGAATTTGTATTTATCGACTCTACGGAGTAATTTTGTTACTGTGATAAGATGTATTATAATAACGTTAAATATACAACATCATCGACAAATCTATTGAACTTGCTAGTTCACGATATAGACGCACAGACATAGACGTATACACTACTAGTGTGATTGACTTCATGGAAAGGATTGCCCCGTTGAGATGTTGAGCGTTTCGGTATCAAGCGTCTGCCTTCTCTTTCATGTATTCATCAGTGATCACTGGCGGATCTTGTCGATCATAGAGCATAAATGAGGCGAATAGAATCGTACACACAATGAATACCCACATGATCATCTTTTCCATCATTCTGAAAGCGTAGAGTTTCATTGACAATGCTTGCAGAGATGTTAGTTTACGGCCAGAAGGTGGAGAATAAAGACAGAATCTGCACAAAGCTATCTTTACACTAAAAGTTTCCGAAATGGTTGTAGATATTGGATTAGGCGGCATGTGACATTTACACAGCAACTAAAGCTCAGAACCATTTTAAAGACTTTCATTGGCACTCCCGAGTGGTCAGTGTGCGGAGCCGTAAAGCATATCTTGCTGTCGAGAAAGTGATCGCTTCCCGATTCCAACGTTACTGCATCTCTGCTGTATAGGTAAGCATGTACTACTTCGCTAAACATACGCCCACCCATGAACGGCTATGAAACTCGTTACTCCTATTGTTTTTGGGAAAGTCTCCAATTGACAGTTGTGACAAAAAGTTTGCACATAATTTTTTGAAAAAGTCTCATTGGCCAATTCCGCAAAAAGACACTCACCATGTTCATACTATGTTTTCGTCCACTATTTTCCGTTGGTATAACTGCTCTCTTGATGTAGCACTTTTCTTTTCCAGGTTACGCCAGCTTATGGCTAAAGGAAAACCACTGTCGGAATTCGAAAGAGGTAAAACTTTTGAAGCAAAGTCGTCTAACCGACGCATCGCACAGGATATGGGCCGCTGCCACGATGTCGTCAACAGATTCATCAAAAATTCTTGTGCTTATGGTTCCAAGTAGCCTACCGGACGTTCTCCACTGCTTTAAAATAGAGAAAACGGCGGGTTCTACGAGAAGCATTGGACATGACGAAGTCATGCGCGGGAATGGAATCTTCCCTCAGACTCAGTATCTCAAACGGACGCAGTTTATCGGGTGCTATAAATGTCCAAATTCATCCTTCATCAAAAAAAAAGGAGGGCTCCGTTTATGACGCAGAGTCATCAGGAAAACCATGTCTACTTCGCAAAAAGACATATCCTGACACTGGAGTGAGGTGGCTGTTCATTCTTGAGGCTCAATCTTCTTTCCTTGGATATTTTCTCTTCAGGTTGGTTTTTCCGATGAATAAAAGTAGAACTCGACGGACTGGACGGCAGTTGTTTCTGTTGGCACGTCATCGGGAAGGACAAGTTTTTTCGCGACGGAACTACAAGAGAGGCGGCATGATGTTTGGACAGCAATCACATCGAAAAGTATGAATTGCTTCAACTATCGGGTTGCTGTGAGGCACGCACTCTTTTCATTGCGATGCCAGAATCAACGGCAAAACTTTGTTTTTAGGCAAGGTGACGCCCCGATAGATGTCAGCCGAAGCACGGGAGCATGGTTTAGACGTCATCAGATCGCCCTTCTTCCTTGGTCCGCGATGGGTCCTGACTACAATCCTATGGAAAACATATGGAGTCTATAGTGAGAAGTATGTACGGCCGTAACATCCCATTTCGAGGCGTCAAAGAGTTTGAAGGAGCCAATGGTTAAGCATGGCACCAAGTTGATTGAAGGCAGTCTCTATGAAAGCATGGACGGTCACAACATCTAACTCATTTAAAGGGGTAGAGGGCCATCAGATTATTAAATTTGTAAGTTGCCATTTTTGTTGATCTCTCGTTGTCAATGAGTCGTATTTCAAATTGGACACCCTTCCACGTATGTACAAAGACAAAAATTCAAGCACTTTTCTATTTGAAATTGTCTTACTTTATCAAACGGCGACTAATACATGCCACAACTTTTCATTGGAGGCTTTTCTGAAAACAAAAAGGGTTACGAGTTTCAGGGCCATTCATGAGTGGACGTATATTTATGCGGAACAGTATATGCGGTTGAAAGCGCCGCAACGAAATCAAGAAGAAGTCATGTAGGTGTATCTGAAAATGGGATTGAGTGGTCTCAGTAAACTTTAGGCTTTCTCAGGAGGATCAGTTATTCATTGCCTTTTAAAAGTACCTCGGAGAAGGAGATTGATGCATTGAACGTGTAGCTTCACATTTTAAATGGAGTGAACATGAGAAAATAATATCGAGCTATTTGAGTAACTTCCCATAATGTTTCCTTAGCAACGTCAAGCCTGTGGATAGGGCAAGTTTACCTTGTATAGCTCTACAAACCTGGCCAACATTTGCCATTCTCTCCGAATTCGTTTCACATGCTCCTGCAGAAGCATCTCCTGCCTGATAGCCTGGACACCTTCCAAGAGGTCAATGACTATGTTATGCAGCATAGGATCATTTACTTTACGCATAGCCTGCTCTTCCTCATTGCTGTCGATCATAGGTAACTTTTGATGCTGAAATTACCACTCAAAATGCTGTACTAGTACAGCAGTATACTGCAGAAACTCATCCGCTCTTACCTTTGGTTCTTCTGTCTTGAGCAACTTTGTTTGGAAAGTTATGAAGTTCTTGGCAAATGTTTTCTTCAACTCCGACAACTTGTCCTGAAATATGGCCAGTGATTTGATTAAAGTAAATCGATACAGGAGTCAGAAAAGCATTAAACAAACTCGGTTCGGTCAACTTCTCGAAGCTAGACGACTCGTAAACTCCAAGGATTCTCAGCACCTTCTCCAAAAAGGCTTCAACTTACATTGCACTGAGTTGTTTTCTTGAACTCTTCACGAGTTTTGTGCATAAGTTTTATCTAGCTGACGTTCTGGTAGAATTGCCTTCTTCAGAGCCGAAATGGATGGTAACTTTTTTTTTGACTATTCGACCAAAAATTTCGACTGCCCCCTCTACAACCGTAGACCCCGCGGTGACTGAATGGAAGAGTACTCACCATTGCTTTGTGGTTTCTTTGGAATAACCCAGCAACCGATGGTAGCGACCGAAAAGTGTGAGCTGTGCAAGGTCTTCACTCAGGGTCACTGTGGAAAGATCAACACATATAAATCCGCTTTTGCCGTTAGACCAATGCGTGAATCCGACGTTGGTTTCTAACAATAAGAAGAAGTTGAGCGAACCCTTTAGCGGCCTACGAGCGCCTCTAGAGTGTTGGACTTGAAGTGAGACCGCTTCAAACAAGCATTATGAGCACAACGCGATAACATGTTTTCTTTGTTAAACAAATGTGTTTCGAGGGAACATTGTTGTGCCCTGAGTGGATCTTTCTTATTTTCTGATTTTATCCCCACCCATAACTAAGGCTGCCTTATAAAGGAAGTCTGACCCTCGTAATATCGACCATTGTAGCTCAATATGTAATCTCAAAAAGGGTCATCTTACCGCATCGGACTTCCGTAAAACATCGACTAGTCAGCGAGGTTTGTCTTGAACTCGATTCATTGTTAAGGGAAGACTGCCTCCACCTACGAGCTACGGCCTTATATAAAGTTGGCGAAATCTGAGTGAGGAGAAACACATTATTATACTTGTCAGCAGGTATGTTTTTACGCGTACAGACAGATTGTGCAGCCAGATGCCAAGGTACTGGTAGATATAATAATACTGTAATATTTTTAATAAAAGGGAAAAAAAGAAGAGACAAAAACTTGAACTATCATCTTGCCAATCAGCAAAACATATCCATTTGAATCAGGAGGATAAGGACATGGATCAATTATCATCGACTGGATATTGTTCAGCGATGGTCTTCCATGAAACACAAATTTGATTCATCCGCTTTTTGCCACTTCCCGATGAATCGTTCCACACCTTCTTTTTGATCCATTCTTCTTTTCGATCGCATGTTTAATATGCAACCAGGCGAACTCAACGTGTCGCGTGTGAACACAGCTGGAGGGCCTACAAAATCGAGGATGTGATAGACTGTGCCATGAACGAGTCCAATATATCCTAGATTACTGTATCCGCGCTAAGAGTTCGCTCGAGAACAGTGGGACTGGTTTCAATCTTCACAATATAGAGAAAGAAGTGGAGAAAAATCGAAAAAGGAGCTGAAGACTTTTTCGATGTAATGTTGGAATAAAGAATATCGACAAAATGAGGTTTAGGAGTCGACATCGGAGCGTCGCGTTGCGCGTCTTTCCGCTTCAAAACTTGCCAAACGTCAAGTAGCAGAGAAGAGGTCATGAGTGATATTCATCCTCCTACCCAGACTGCGCCTTGGCCTTTCTTGTATGGCTTTGAACGAAGACGTGTTCAAGCTGGCAGTGTTCGGTACTACATATTATCGGTTGTTCGGTAATTTCTTAGAACCAACAAAGTTAGTTGAGTAGCCCTCCTCTTGTGTGCTGTGGGGTCCTGAATAGTCGCAAATTGCTACGGTTTTTGAGGCTCTGATAAGCCGATTCTGCCAAAATGTTAGCCTAATACAACATACATATGGTCTTAATGAAGAGTTCAACCACTCAGTACTGCAGCACTTATATCGAGGTTAAAAGAAAGCCGGAAACTACAACTTACGTATTTTTTTAACCGCATCTTGATAGTTTCTTGGGTGTTCATCAGTTCTTTGCCGAAAAACCATTGAAGTAACGACGATTTGTTAACTCGTATTGAGAGTAGGAATCCACGTACCCGACGGGAAATAGGTTGGCCCTGCAGTGATAGAATGTTGTCAGATCGGTTAATAATAAGTTCAAAATCAGAAAAATTTTCTATGTAGAAGTAAAAATGATATCTAGGGGAATGTTTGTGATACTATTCTCGATCGCCGTTATTTCAAATAGTTTCAAAAGCTCAAGTATGCCTTTCCTGAAACGTTAAAAGGATGGCGGTTTATGAATGATAGTAAGTAGGAAGTGTGTTGAAACTCGTTGAATGGATTTCGGTGATGCTCTTTTGTAGAGTACTTCAAAGGTTAGTTATCAATCATGTGACGGAATGAACATGAATAAATAATTTTGAGTTTCATGCCATTTTCACTTCGGAGAGTTGCCCTCCGAAGAAAAAATGGCATGACACTCAGAGTTATCAAATGAAGGATTATTTGAAGCTTTTTGGTCAAAAATACAGTGATGTATTTAGTAGTCGGAACCCCATTTTGTAAGAAAAAAGAGGCAGGCAGTTACATCTTCAACAACACCAATTCTTCTCATGGACTTCTATGGTTGCCAGGAAATATTTTGCTAAGTCTTTGCTAGGTGGACTTTTCACTTTTGAAATGGTTCCGCGCTACACAGCATCTGTAGTTACTGCTAGACAAGAGCCATTGCCCCCACACATGAAGTGGAAGCATTTGATATAATTATTCGTAGCGAAGTTTCAGCAGAAAAGTAGTGCTCATTTTTCGAGGGATATTTTGGTATTTTTATGAGAACGAAACAGTTTGAGAGCAAGGATGACCTTACCGTATTTCCCTGCATCTGAAGCCCAAGCGTGAACGTCGTGCAATAAGTGGCGAGAAACATGATGAATATCAGGCCGATGTAGTATTGCCCTAAATTATGAATTAGAGTACAGAAGGGTGGTAAAAGCCTCACTTCCTTTGAGCCAACAGTGCCAGCATATCAGTGCGGCTCTGTAAAGAGTTCTATTCCATCTACCTTCGAAGGATGGAAGGATCAGCTATTTGCAGTTATTTAATCCTAATTTTGTGATCCGGTATCACTTAATCGAACCCGGTGGCATCAAAGTCTTGATCGGCCTTAGCAGATTTCGATTTGGTATACGACCCACGGACCATATTTGATAGGTGTGGTGGCGCGCAATTTGCCTCCCTACCAAATCCGCCCATTAGGACCATCGAACTTCACTGGGTAATAACTAATATCAAAGCCAAGTTTTGAACGAGAATATTCAGAAGTTCAAAGTGAAATTCCAATCTGGATTGCTAAAGATTTTGTAAGGTCAAACTCAGCTTTATGTTCCTGGAAACCCATCTTTTGCGCTTGTGCAAACGTCACAACAATGGCTGACCTTCTACGAAGTCTTTACAGCATTTGTTCTTTTTTGAAATTTCAATACTGTTTGAACCTTTTTCTTATTAATATCGGCAGTTTTTAGCACTTTCTTCTCAACTTTGTGAGGGGTGTTCCAAAATTATATGTGTCGAAGTTCAGGACTTCTTTTAGATAGAAGTATTTCATCAAATTCACTCCACGCGTAGTTACTTGCACAGGTAGGTTTCCTTGCAATATGTATTGATCGTTACTGAAGCGAAGCTCCCAATATCGTTTAGATGGCCGAAGCTCATTCAATGCCACTTGCAATCATTGGCGTGTGGAGTCGGATGGGCTCTATAAAATTCCTTGTGATTCCTATACTATCCGTACAGGATGCCATTAAACGACACAGAGAAGAAGAATCAATCGGAGACAAACTAGGAAAGGGTGGAAATACCAGTGTTTCTAAAGGTAGAACTATTCGAATGATTTGTTCACGAGTCGACAACGATCCTGCGTAACCCATCGAAAAGACGACAAAGGAGCAGAACTTGTCAAAGTTGACGGTGGGGCGGATTGCCGAGCAGAAGTTCTCTGGACACCCACATCCACTGGAGCTTCCTCTAGCTGGAGAATTTTGCGAAAACAACTACTCCTCAACAAACAAAACAATTACGTTCTGGATATGAACTCGAACGTGCAACCTCTCACAAAAATGTTGCTACAAGAAAGGCAAAATGATGTTTGCTGAGGGCAAGGGAAGACGCCATTGGTTTAGTCGGTCTCGGCGTGAAAACTGATAAAGAAAAGTAAGACTAAAACTAAGACTGATAAAGACTCAAAGAGCATAATGGTTGTCGTTATGAAGCATTGATCCTACTACGCTTCCCGAAACAGCTCGTAGTCCTTTCAGCAGAACGGCTCTCCAGCCCACAGAGCCACACTTGCCCAAGAGTGGTGCCGACACTAGCTGCCTGACTTCATTGGCAGAGAGGAACGGCCATGCTGCTTTCCAGTTCTTATCGCTTGGTTCCTCCGTATTGTCCCTGATTAGAAGATGTCCTTTCAGGTTTGAGGTCCCAGTGGGTCCTAGAAAGCTAGAACTTTTTGAAAGAAATGAAGGAGGGCTTTGGCCCACAATCGATACTGATGGGGGATATTTTGAAATGAGGTCGTAGCTTGTTGTTGTACATAATGTTAGCAAATGTGTATATAGATTACGTTGTCTTCCTCAGCCTAGAGGCTCAGAGTGCGTTGCCATGAATCGGAGCCTATAATTTTGTGTACTATTCTGCACCGCATCTTTCATTATTTCTCTTGAAGTTGCTGACTGAATATTATCGTGCTGACTGTGCCTTCATTTTCTAAAATTGCCTACAAAGTTCAAACCTCCTCCCCAATGAAGAGTACATGTTCTTCCTCAATATCAAGAAAGAGTTCAAACCTCTTCCCCAATGAAGAGTACATGTTCTTTCTCAATATCAAGAAAGACCTCGATTGGGCTTGCGATGTATTACTCGAATTTTTTTTTAACGACCACGGCTATACGGATGCCTATTGAGGGGCGCAGATGAGGAGGCAACCGTAAAATTTCCTGCTCAATCGCGCCTGTCGCCATAGCAAATAGCGCGTTCGAAAAGAGTAAGTCTCCCTTCGGGGTACATATATTTTCTTGAATGCTATTTGATTCGAGCCAACGAAGCTCCATTTGACGTATTTCATCGGCTGCCATTTTTATGATTGCCCTCCAATGGCTGCTTTCATACAGATAGACAAACAGTCTACGCCCCTTCGAGGGGTTGAAAACGGGTATGTGTACGAACGTGCGTCCGAGGATGCGCGCGGCAAATTGCGCGGCGAAGTTCGTAATGGTTTGAACGAGTTTGGCACCTGTCATTGGGGTCCAAATTTCATATAGAATGGATCAGGAGGATCATCCGACCCTACTAAACTACACTACTTCGAGATTGTGCCCCGAAAGTTGGCGCCGCAGTCGTACAAATCGTCACGAACTTTGCCGCGCAATTCGCCGCGCGCACCCTCGGACGCACGTTCGTACCGTCCCCCGTTGAAATCAAACAACCTTCGAAGGGGCGTGGACTGTTTGCCTTTCACTGTCTGCCTCCCTCCTCCCTCCTAGCACTGCCTCCGCCGGCACGCCGGCCGGCCGGCTGACTATGAAAGCAGCCAATGGTTTCGAATCACGACGTAGTAGCAGACCTAACCAGCTTCAGCTAAACACCATGCGCTGTTTCGGTAGGAAGCGCAGACGACTAGAGACGACTTGTATCTTTGCTCTTTTCCTCTTCACAAGAGGTTAGAAATGAGGAGAGAAAGCAACTATTTTCGACTATCACTTAGTCTTGGCACGATAGTCTCCAACTTCTCTCTTGCTTCAACCTCGGCATAGCTAATATTTGTGATAATTATGATCTTGGCATGATTTTCATCTCGTTCTGTTTTAGGTATTCTTCTTCGAAGCCTAGGCGAAGATGATACATTTTTTATTAGGCCAACACTTTGGCTAGTTGCCTTCGTCAGAGCCTGTAAGCCAAAAAACATTTGGGATTCACCCTACTCAGACGACGTTCAGCCTTCAGCTTATTTCAGTGTAGCTTACTGTACAGATATCCAGAAAGGACTTGCAAATTACAACAGGTAACTCAACAACAACTGACCCCTGGCTTGAAGCCGGCGCTATTGAAGTCGACACAGGTTAGGGAACGGCGCAAGATCGTTAGTTACGGCAAGACCATGTTCTGTTTCATTTTTAGCTTTTTCGCACTTATCCAGAAAGCTTCAAAAGTTTCGCGCTGTGGTCGTGGGCTCCCGCATCAAGATCCTGATTGGTAGTCCCACATCTTCGTGGCGATGCCTCTTGTGGTTTTCCAAGGGCGTTTTGAGCCTTTATCTATCCAGGCCGTCCAAGTGTTGTTATAAACTGCATATCAGAGGTCCTCGGTCTCGTCTACGTATTCATCTCCCCAGAGCTTGTGCACATGTGATCAAGTGTGATAACAGATCACACCTACGCCAAACCGTCACCCTTTTCAAGAACGGTCTCATCGTTTGGCCAAGACCAAGTAGAACCCGTGCAGCCTGCTAGGAAAGTGGCTATCTCTAACGGGTATCCCCTGTAGGACCAGTGCTCTGGCAAACCATTCTGGAGACCACACGAACAAGCGCCTCTGAAGTGCAGGCTTAAGTACCACGTGTATCCCTTGGAGGAATCAAGGCCTAAAACGCGCCCGAGAGACTAGGCGTTGTCGTGGAGATGTAGACCTCGGGGTATCAAGATCTTGTTGCGGGAGCCCACAACATCAGTGCGAAAACTTTTGAAGCCTTTTGGATCGTAGCAAAAAATTCGAAAAGGATCCGGAAAGATGAATATTCCGCCCTAACTAATAAGCAAGCCCCGTTCCTCGACTTGTGTGGATTTCAGTAGCCACCGGCGTCAAGCCAGGAGACAGGACGCTCGGAGCCCACCCACTGCAAAAGGTTTAAATAGACAATTTAGAAAAGAGGGTGCACGGTTTTCTTCTGAACGTTTAGGGTGGGTCATCTGTCGAGATTGCAAGACCTTTCTAGGATAGACTACACTTGAACTAAGCTGAGTTCTGCACGTTGTTTGATTGGGATGAATCCCAAATGATTTACGGCTCCAGGTCCTGACGAAAGCGACTGGCCTGAATATTAGCCAAATAAAAATTGTAGCATCTTTGCCGCGGCTAGAAAGAAGAGCGCCTTAGGAGGTGNTTTTTTTTTCGAATTTCCTGTACTATTTTGCTTTCTCCGCTGCTCACTAGACTACAACAGTCTCTACACTTATAGTAGCATGTGATGTCAACCCTAACTGCTTTCTCAAGTTCTCCATTCAACACCTCTCACCTAGCAACGGTACGGAGTTGGACGTGGCTGGTAGTTTGTCGGAGACCATCATCACTAGAAACCATTCAGCTACATGTGAACATTCTCAAGTCTATGATGTCAAGCTAACTCACGTATTATAGCCAAAGACAGCAGAGCAGTGACTCCGAGACTGACCTGAAAGTTTGCAACTCCAAATTTAGTACATAAATAACGCTCGGCATTACGAGATTAGTGGAAGCAGATAGCAGAGCAGGGACTCCGAGAGAGAGAATTTCTGAGAGGAGAGTTTGTAGAGTTGTTGAGGACCTAGGGGTTGCACCATTCACACCGGAACCCGCACCTTGCACGTAGGCAGCGTACTGCAACCAGCTGTACGCAGTGTCACAAAGTTCGTCCTCATACCCACCCTGCAGATTTTGTTGTCGCATTGTCGTCCAACGACTATTTTTACTACTTTGCTGAAGCCTTACCCCTATTTCTCTTAGTATGTCAAACTTTGCGTTTTCTTCGCGTCATTTTCACACTATTTTGGAGTATCACTTCTGTCGTGATGAGGTGCCTTCCGCTGTTCGCATCAGCGTTCCCGCACCCCAGTCACTGCAAAACGTGGGAATAGGGTTACCACACACTTCTAAGGAGATACTCCGTGCCGAGGAATGCTGGAAGTCCTGCTGTGGGCTGGAAAAGCCTAGTCCCTTGACGCCGAACCAAACACCCAACTAGAAAGTGTCCAGGGCTGAATCCCGCTTGACCACACATAATGATAAGACGTTACCTTTACGTCATATTGGTACAACGTTACGAAACTTCAATTGATAGGCAAATGGTAAATGAAACATTATGATGCAATAACATTACACTGAGTGTATGCATGAGTAAAACGAACTACACCATAACTAACCTGGATTCAAGGCGAGATGTGGAAAGGAGATGAGATTGAATAAGATGCGATGATCGACGGTTATGGAAAGAGCCCACGGGACGAAGAGAAGGGAGCATGCGACGATTCACCAGCCAGGCCTGACGACTACATACGGACGACTAATTAGAGCCGATTCGTAGCGATATGACATGCTTATAATTAGTTTTCTCGCGCTTCTGGCAATTTCTGGCTTTCGCGGTAGGACCGACTACGAGTGGATCTGGGGCGCGGTTTTATCCCAACGCATGCTCTTAACCTGAGTGGAGGTCGCGCGGGGTCACGACAACTTCCATTACTCGTCTAAAACTAGACACCCCTAAATTATTGTGAACGGTGTCTCGAAACGCGAATGTTAGTGGGCAGCAAGCATTTNTTTCAAACGTTTAGATTTACTAGATCATATAAGTTTCAGTCAGGTCAGAAATCATTGATAAACCAGATTCGAATTTGACAAGTATCGACTACGCTTTGGAGCCTAGAATTCCACTTTACTGAACCCACCTTCTCGGTATTTTCACCAGTTGATGAATGCGGCGTGAAAAAACCGATCACCGTAACGATTGTGATGAACGCAGACGGAATAATAAGAGTAAATAGGTAATATGACGGGTTCCGTTTGATAGCAAAAAAGTACGAGATGTCTGGATATGGATTTGGGCAGCAATCGTAGTATCTGAAGTATTCCATGTTGTCAGCTAAATTAATAATAATTCAATTAATGATCATGATGCCTTACTTCAGATTGCTCCTGTACTTGAAGTCCACCAGTGTCCATTCCATATTAGGAATATAGTGATTAAGTGCAGCGAGATTTGTCCTGAGAGGATTTTGTTGCGCAGAATGCCTGGCAATTCAGTCCCTATGTCGTTATCAATGCTTGCAATACACGGCCTTCTTGGAGGTTCAAGTTTTTCGCAAAGGACTTGCAGTCAAGCTTGTGCAGTCACCATGCACTGTTGTGATTAAAGCCATTTGTGGTCGTTGAACTTCGCACATGCAGCGACTAAGTCAACCTATGCGAGAAGTCAAAAACACTCCAGCAAGACCCGTACATTATTCGAGAATAAATAGCTCTATTTGATTCAAATCTTTTTTTGTAAAGCCACACTGATGGAATTTCTTATTTGAACGCTACGCTATAAAATATTGCTCAGTTTGCAAGACCTGAAGCCTAATTGGAACCGAAAGAGGTGATATTATCGTTAGATAAATAAATATAGCGCTGTTTTACATTGGCTCACTTTCATACACCCTCATTTACCTACTTAGCATTGCTGTCTGTGTGAAAACAATTGTTTCGATTAGTCATTGATGTTAATTTTCGACACATGGCTTTCTCCATAGCTTCTGCCGTATACGTCTGATGCAGGTATCACAAAGGCAACCTTGTACGCGCAGTTCAAGATACTTCTATACCTGTTCCAAGTTGAAAAGTGGAACTGTTGGCGAGGAATAGTGCGTCAGGGCGAAGAAACCGTAAAAGAAATCTTCAAAATATATGCATATCAAAAAAAGAGAAAGTCGGGGTTGTATGAGATTATCATGTTGGGGATGTTGTGGAAGAGGTTTTAGGTTGAGTCATAGGTCCTCGGACGATGCGATAGTGATGATTTCTAGAAGTCATGACTTGAGAAAGAGGTGAATAATATGAACACTTGAGGCATCGTCAGATAGAGTTTAAGGCTTTTTCAAATACATACTAACGAATACACCTGACCGTTTCCCTTCCTGCAACCATGCCCTGTGATTTCAAGCCTTCGCAACTCTACCTCCGCAACACCATCCTATTTCTTTTTTTAACTTTCCAAGATACCGCGGCAACCGATAGGAAATCGCAAAGAGACGCCTCTGCTAGAAGCACTATTTGCAAGGTGCACGAAGAACGTGTCGGGCGACTATTCCATCGAAGATGAAGACCATCCGGGACGTCCAAGGAGTTGGACGTGCTGCGGAGCCAGGTGGGAGCCGATCCGTATCAAAGTGTTCGTGAACTGGCAGTTACTCTTGGGGTGATTCAGTCCACAGTTGTTTATGGATTGAAGTCAATCGGCAAGATGCGAAAGTACGGTCGATGAGTGGCTCCATCCTGCTCTGAAGCAGTATGGCATAGACCGCCGCAAAGACATGGCACTTACTCTCCTCACGCTCAAGCGCACTCGCACATGGCTCGAGCACCTAGTCACCGGAGATGGAAGTGAATTCTCTACTCTGACATTCACCGGCGTGTTGAAAGGGTCGACAGAGGTGCGGATGCAGAAGAAATCCTTAAACCCAACATAGACGCCAAGAAGGTTATGTTTTGCATCTGGTGGAGCGTTCACGATGTCGAATACTGGACTGCTAGAAGAAGGATGTACAGCGAGCGCAGACGTCTACATTAAGCAACCGAGGAATTTGTAGGCGAATCTCGAAGCTACACATCCACAGCAGCACAAAGTTACTTCCAGCACGACAACGCTCAGCCGCACTTTGCAAGAACGACCAAACCTGAACTAATGAATTTCGGCTGGACAACTCTACCACACCCACCATATTTCTCAGACTTGGCTACCTCGAGTTACTCCCTTTTTCCCATTTCCCACGTCATCTGGATGGCCAGGGCTTTCATACCCGCGACGACATCGAAATGGCGGCACTCGAGCAGTTTTTCAAGGGCCAGCCCCCAGCGTTCTGGAGCAAGGGCATCAACGATCTGCCCAAGCGTTTGCAGAAGACCATTGATGCCGATGGGCATATTTCAAATGATTCGCAATTGTTGTTCAAAAATTGTAACTTAAATATAATAATTGTCAATTCGTCCAAGGACTTATGACTCAACCCAATATTTGGACGAGGTTTCATATTTTGCAGTCAACAAATGTCTTTCAAAGTCAGCAATGCCCTTTCACTGTGATCATGTGTAACGATTATTTGTTTCAACATCTAACATAGGTGTCCCCCATAGATGGTGCAGCTTTACAGCGCCGTTAAAAGTCGCCCGTCTTTGGGCGTGGCCTATTGTAGTAGAAGTTATCTAGCCCTTGTTCCACCGTATCTTATCTATATCTTATCTACGATTTAACTGCTCCACATATGGCATACTTGGTCTCTGAAGCTTCATTTATTTCGGGAACTGTGTCTTTGACGATGTCGCAGTTTTTTTACATGTGCACATTCTAAGGTTTGTAAGGTTTCTTCAGACTGACTGTGCGAAAATCTCTGGGGAAACCGTAACCCAGAACCAGGTCCCTGTCGCTGACCTCTCACTGCACCTCTTCAAGCCGTTTTTCACCGCTAGTGGCAGAGCCACTTATCAACTGTCGCTAGCAAAATTCCTTCAAGTACGCGATTGTGTGACGCCTACTACATGCAACATGCTGTCTATACTCCCTGCTGCTACAGTTCCTCTCCGTCATGAGTAGCAAGAGTATCCTATGATAGCCACAATAGAGCAATTTTGCCAAGATGAGAAATCACAATTAACTATTCAGAATGTTACATTCGGCAGGGTCTGGTAGACAAGTGTCGAGTTGCATGATTTCAACTGTTTGTTGGGTTTTCTCTATTGGTTTTTGCCTGGAGTTGTTCCAAACTAACATTTGTCTTGCATACCATATCATAGCGCACCTTCGAGTATTAACAATAAAGAACAATGAATGTCATGAATATTTGTTTTTTTTTTCTTATAGTATTGCTAACCCCGAATGTTCAGTTACCTGATCGCCAACTCGCTTCTTCTTTTCTGTGCTTCTCGGTAATTTCCATTTCACTACCTACATATACGAGCAAGCCCGTTCGCTGGGACGGAATGGAAAGACCTTTGTAGGTCCTATCCTTCGTGATGTAGGACATGTAGCAGTCCTACGTTCATTTATAAATCAGGCGCTCAGTTCGAGCCAATCTTTCAGAACAATAGAGCAACTTTTGTACCAAACAACAGATTTTATTAAAACGATTTCTTGGAACACTCAGCAATCTAAGCGGTACCCCCGCCTGTCATAGATAATATATCTTTCCTCCTCTCAAAGAGTAATAAACCAACCTGTTCGTGCTTGGTTCAGCGGTGGGCTCCTCTGCTGTATAAAGCATAATTTGTGAGCCGTCATAGGACCACGACGCCAGTAAAATGTAACAAATTTGCTGAAGGAAGATTAGCTAGAATCTTTTGCTACAAAATAAATAAAATATACTTGGCTAGTTGTTCGCCATAGCAAGTTATAGCGAAGTTCTACTCTGGTTAGATAAAAAACGTTTTCGAGCAACTTCGCTCTGTATGTGGGAAGTTTTGAAAGATACTCGTTAGAAAATAGTACATTTGCGGTAATACTATCTGATACCTCTACATTAGCAGACCTTCGAGAGATATCACTCAACTCTGTCAACATTCCTTAGCTGCTTTCACTGCGGCTAAAGGATGTCGACGGAGTCTTAACTTTGTTTCAACATGGCGACTTGAGGGAATTCTTGACAGACTCGGAACCACAAAGTTGTCGTAAGCTCCATTCACAGTGCAGAGACGAAAGTTTTTTTTGGAGTAGGAAAACTTTCAAGGCGTGAAAAAGAGGCTTCTGAAGATGAACGCTAGATTTCTTGTTAGTTAAAGACCTAACCACAAGTAGAATTAGTTGCAATAAAAAAGTAGAAGGTTGTCTTCCCGAAGGGGACTGGGACAGTGACCAACCCTTAGATTTTTTTCAAAGAAAGAATTGAAGCGGGAAGTGGTCACCGCGTAAAGACCAACTCAATCCTATCTGCATATATAGTTCAATTTTATGTTCAAATGACAGTATTTTTTGAGTACTCACACTGACCAAGTATCCAGCTGTTGTGTGATTGTAACGTAACAGTATGCTTCCTTCCTTCAAAAAAGGAGTTCCAGTGAACAACTTCAACTTTTTGGTTTGGGCAGTAAACCCGTAAATTAATGCTGTTTGGACCGGATTGCCAGATGACACTGGCTTAGGAGATGCCTCGAACATAGTCTTCTGAGATTTTCAATCATCTCCAAATCCGCTGGTTTAGGATGCTATGTGGTTTTTGAGCACGAAGAGGGCGCATGAGCAGCTGCTGTCCAGGACAGTATTGTTTTACCCACCTACCCTTTTACAAAGCCTGAACCCCTCAAACTCCAGCCGTAGGAGATTGCGAAGAAGATGATGGCTGATTTGTGTTCAGACTAAAGTTTGTACTATCTAGAAAGGAATGCAGATGATCACAATATATATGTATACACGATTGGAAACAAAGGGGACTGCAGAAAAGTGGCTAACAGAAAAGTGAAAGTGGAATGTAGGGATAAAAGCCTCATTCACTTGGTTTTTGTTATGGTTGGGGAAGAAGGGACTCACAATCGAATGCCCAGAAGTAGGGTNGATCTTGTTTGATGGCTGGATTTCATAATGGCGCCCTCCTTTTTCTCATAGCTGCATATGCTTTGATAGAGCATTAATATTTTGCCAAATTTTGAATGGTGGAGTTTCGAGTACTGCCCTTTTCAAAAAATAAGAAGCGTCAGAATACTAGAATGATTAGGATTGCAAAAAATCACTAAGCGAGATACCTTCTCGTTCGAATGGGATGTTATACATGATTCAGCATGAACTCATTTCGAATTCCATTTTCAAAATGCAGAAGATGGGTAGCGTTCCCAAGCCCGATTTTCAGAGAACGGTGGGAAACCTCATTTGGAGATTCTAATGCTCTTTCACACCATCCACTTCGAAGGTTCCATGAAATTTTCATGACATGGGCTTTGCTAGATAGACAGTTTTTTGGCTAATAACAGAGTTCAGTTGGAAATGTTGGAAAACATTTGTTTGTTTCAGATTTCCACTACCGTCGGCGTGTAATAGAAAATGAGTGTGCTGAGTTCGAACTGCAGCTCCAAAGAGGAATCAGAGTGATGCACGTTCCCACAGCCTCCCTTTTTTCCTTCAGTCAGTATTTTGGAGTGAGGATTCTGAGAAGATAAATGTATTGACATGGTCAAAGCACTGGAACAACCACACATGTGATCCTATGGGATATGCTTCCATGTGGCGGCAAAAGCCCCAGACATCGAGGAAGGTTAAGCGACGTGACCAAAACACTGGAAGCCTTGGCTTACCTGATCGTATGGAAATCGTTCAAGCCGAAGGTCACAAGTGATATCGGTGATCAGTGCACGGAATAGCGAAATACGGCCAGTATGTTCGATCTGGACATTCGTTTGCATCTCGTTTTCTCGGATGTTCATATTGGCACTAAAAAGAAATTTTCTGACACTATTGAAAACACATGCCTTGAATCAAAAGTAATATCATGGGGCGACGTCTGTGCAATAGAGGCTGGTCGTTGTTTATTTTTTGTTGGTTAGTTCTTGTATTCAGTACAGTCCTCTGTGGAGAGTAGGGTGTTAGAGCGGCGAGAAAAGGCGTTCATTGAAATCGAGCAGCCGTTGGAATCTGATGCTTCTTATTCACCCACGTCAGTGACGTCTACTTTATTCTCCCGCATGACGACCTTTCTACCTGATTGGAATTTTGGTCTGTAATGATGAACTATTTAAGTGCAGTTCCTCCACTAATACATGGTATTCAAAAAAAGGAAATGTACCTCAAAAATGATCGTTAAGACGTTACTTTGCTTTTAGTAGAAGATTTGGCTGTTATGGGTTGTTTATAGTTTATAGCTTTTATAGTTCATTTCTGAGAGGTTTTTACGGTCTAGCACACAAATTATTGCAGAGCTCTCGGCTGTAGGGCTACCTCTTATGGAAGTTTTCTTAATATTGAGCTAATTTATGCCTTGGCAGTCAGATTCCTTGTACACGGCCAGCTAATCAAATCAAATGGTAACGCTCCTCAAAAAAGTTATCGTCGTTGTGTATGAAGGGACCCTGTCGGGTAGGACTATCTCTTCTTTCTTAGGTGAAATTTCTTAGAGAGTGTATCCATACACACAGCTTTTCCTGAAGCTTCCACCCCTCTACCTGCTTTCTCAATTGGCACGAATGCAGTTCGCATGACTGGCCAGCGTGATGAGCTACACTGAGCACTAATGGATTAGAAAATCGAGGTGCATTCAGTGTACTGACTCTGAATAAGAGGCACTCACTGACTATGGAGCCGTCAACGATTTTTAGCCAGAAATACTCCAAAGTTTACACAAAAGACCAAAAATATTCCCAGCTACGTTCCTTTCGAAGCCTGCTAAGCATGTCTAGGGCAGTGTTGATGATTTCAACTACATATAACCCCGGCAAAATGAAGAAATCGTCAAACACGTGAAAGAGGTAAACATTAGCATTAGCAATAGCTAGGCAGTAATAGGCAATTGTAATCATTAGCGTTGGTCAAGGTATATATAGTGTATTTCGTGAAAAAGCGCTCTCTTAGCTATGGAAAAATCGCAGTTGCGGGGAAGTCTAATTGGACTTTTACATACTTGCTGGTAAGGTTGGGTCTGGGCGCTGATTTCTCGATGTTCTCACACCAGAGAGCCCTTTGAATTCTGAGTTGCAACCACACCATGATATCAAAGTCGGATAAGTGTAGGATTCGAGAAGAAATAGAGATTAGTTATCTACAACATCATGAGAGGCTTTTCCAACAATCTTGGACAGAATGGCAGCCGCTTCGATGTATGCCACTCTGCCCTCAGACACCGACAGTTCTAATAGTTGTAAAGCGGGTTTTATGACGAGCCTCCAGATTTTGCAGTTCCTCGACTTTTTCAATCAAGATAAGCCCTGTATGATTAACCTTCCGCTAGGCACACTCAATCTCGACATTGAGCTGCAAAAAGTGAAGTCAGAACCTCAAATTGGGACCCTCATACAAGAAGAAATGTAAATGTCATCGTAATGGATTTTTGTCCTAGTAGTAGTTGTTGAAAGGCTCACTTATTATACACTAGCAGATCCGGTCTCCAAATCATTTGCGAAGGCACGTGAAGTTCCTTGACGCCGCCAAATTCTTCAGGTTTCCACGTAAGGAACTCATCATACCAGTACTGGAATATTTTTTATTTAAAATAAGGGATATTCAAGAACCATTCATAAAAGGTTGTTTGTGAATGCAGATCTGAGATACCGTTTGTTTTATAAAAATGGCCCCGAGCGGCATACCAATGGTCGGTGACAGTTTCAATGATCTCTGATGAGGTGACCTGTGTAGTCAAGGATCGACTTTCTTCCAATCTTGGCATGATATGTAATATAATATGTAATAATATAATATGTATCTTTGTTACCTGTGTAAGGTGTCCTTTCAGTGACCCTGAGTTGGAAATGCGACTTTAGTTCTGGCTCTCAGGCTCTGACGAGGGCAATTAGCCGAAACGTCAGCCAAATAGAAAATTGTAACATCTCGGCTTAGGCTTTACAAGGACACTACACATCAGGGAATGCATATCATTTCACGTCAGAGCTGTCGACACCACGATCATTCAAATGACACCGGGTGACAAGTTCTAGCTAGTTGTCTCGCTGCAAGCCCAGTCATATTTGGTGACATTTGTAACCTCGCTGCGTAACGCGGCGCTTCGGTTTAAAGGCACAGTTCACGATAAAAAGGGTTTCTGAGTTCTCTCCCGGGTATACCCAGTGGTCCCGGAGGGTAGCACTTAGAACGCTGTCGGATCCAAAAACTCAACGGCTTTTTGGTCCAAAAACGTCCAACAGCTTAAAATATTTAGTGCGAGCCCCGTGACCGGGTCGCCCGGATGCCACACCCATCGACCGGTGACGTGTCAGCCTAGTGTCGAGGCGGTACAATGCGCAAAATTCTCTCTAGGACCCACACATAATCAACTGTTCGCCAAGTGTGAGGCGTTGTTTTTCTCCTTTTCTATTATTTTCTGTTATTCTTTTTGCTGTTGCGATCCTTTACTCAATTTTCTACCTCAAGAGACTGAGAAAGCTATTTTTGCCGTACTAGCATTTTTGTTAGCTTATGCTTATGAGCGAATGAGTTTTAAAGGGCATTCCTGTTTACTGTAGTCAGGTTTTCGCACCAGGAGCGAGCTCTATTGAGTCATGGTCCTTCGTCAGTTCATAAGAAGTCCATTGGTCATTTTTCACAAAACGCCTTTGAGGGAAATGCATGCTCGAATCAATTGGAAGCCGTTGGGAGCCTTCGTTGTGCGGGATTTTTTGAAAGTCTCGTTTAGAATACTGAGTTTAGCGAATAATTTCGTACCTCTTCAAGCCAACAGTAGATTGTGATAATTTGATCATTTTCTTGAACTTTTTGGATTTGCTTGAAGTATAGTTGAACAGTGACATTTGTAGGGCCCGAGTCAAACGATTTCACGGGTCTGAAAAACGACTTGAATTGAATCCTCGTCCAATTTCTGCAAATCTTTCTCTTTTCTAATGCCCAGATTTTCTTATTGTTTTCTGACGGGGTTTCCTTTGTGAAATATGTAGATTAATCACCTTAACTCCTTCCTGTAGTTACCGAATAATTCGGCCATAAGCTGTTGCTGTTGACCTTCGGCTCGGACCTGAAGCATCTACATGAAAAGGAACACAATGAAGGTTCCCCATCATGATACATTTTTTTCTACTAACTGTCCTAGCCGGTCAGTGATTCGACACTGACGTACTTTGAACCCTTTAAAAGCGGAGGCGGAGCTGAGTGTAGGATTCTCACCATTAGTCCATGATTCCCCATTCTTCAATACCTTACGAATGCGAATTAGACCCAACATGTCCACCGATAGACTCCGAGCGGCATTCGCTCGAAGCCCGTCGGTGCATGTACCTGCCGCGAGACTTCAAGGAGAATGTGATATGAGCAATTATCAGGACATATCCGCTTACGTGATATATTCCTAGCAAAATATTAAAATTGCTGGTATAGCTAACTCACCATTGGGTATAATGTAAGAATTGCTAACATCTTGATCATGGCTCCTGAAAAAATAGGGAAGACTTTTGAAAATTAGAGCTACACACTGAACTGGGAATTCGAAATCTTTCCTATACAAAGAATAGCAATAAATTTGAAAAAAAGCGAGAATATCCTCCGTGGAATGATGAACAGGAAAGTGATGCGAAGAGGACAAAAGCTCCTCTGGTCTTCTAAAAAAACGTTGTTGTCAAATCGTTCAAAGAATGAAGAGGCAGCTAATAAGGAACGAGGCTTTTCGTTCGTGCATAACATTTTAACCATGTAAAAAAGAACTAATGGATAATAATAATACCATGAGAAGGTGGCCTAGTGGCTAGTGTCGAACTATCGCATACGCATAGTGAAGGATTCGAATCTCGGATCAATGTTCGCCTATATCAACCGAACCTTCCATCCCATCAGGATCGGTTAATTGGTAAGACTCCTATGAGAGAATAAAAGCACTGACTTGTAAATCGGCTGACAATCGCAAATCATTGCATAGGCCCAAGACGCATTCATCACGCCACAGCTATTTTGCATGGGAGTCCTGTGCAGGGCGCATCTCTCAGACGAAATTGATTGATGTTAGAAGAGTTTAGACTCGAATAATACATTATAAATAAAATTCCGTCGGCCTTCGAGGGTTTTTGGCTTTTTTTTGGGTTTAGTTTTTGCCATCACAAAATGGCTTTTGAAGGACAAGACATCCAAACGAACGAGTGTCTTGGAGTGGTCTCAAGTGTACTGTAAGACCCTACATTGCCTGCATTCTTTTTAAGAATTTTGCATTATTTAATAATCTGTTACTGCGGATACCTCTCGGATTTCGTAAGCTAATCTCAAGGCTTATTATAAGTGAAACATGAACAGGCTGGAATCGTTTCTTACATCTGAGCGCCCATGGATAGAGTTGCTTGGTTACAAACCTGCCCAATCCGTTAGCTCCCTTCCTTACAGATAACATGACTGGGTGACGTATGCAAAAGCCTTCATACGCTAGAGGAAATAACATGAATCGAACAAATACCACTAGAGGATAGTGCCAATAGTGCCATCAATAGTTTGGTCCAACATAAAAGCAACAGTGAAGTTTCCAAGCAGGATAAACAGTGACTGCTGCCTTGAGGGGCAACTGCCAGAAAATTGAAATGGTCTTGCACGACTATATAGCAACTACTCAGGGCGATATTCTCAATGTTCGGGTTCGCTTGGTGTCCAATTTCATTCCTCAGATTGGATGAGCAGTAAAATTTCCGATGAACTGGTTGGAACAACTTGCGAGATTATTTCACATCTCATTTATCGCTCATCCATTCCTTTTGGCTACTACTCAGCAATCATCGGCGACTAATGGAGAGAGCCACCCGTCGGATGGGAGCAGCAGAAATTATCTCTTCAAACAGAGAAATTCTATGATTATAGGATTTAATCGTTAGATTCCTATCTTTACACGGACTCGAATGAGCAGTTGGTTGTTGCCATCCATGAAATAAGAGAGCCAGTGTCCACTTGTAACGTTACCGAAAGCCTCGTCCCTGAGGTAAGCCTGAAGGGTTAAAGTTACTCTGGAAAGCAACGAAGGCTCGGCCTTATGATTTTCGAGCTTCCGTATATCCACTCCATTAAATCTTCAAAGTCTTCAAGAAGCTGCTTCACATCTCCGACTCTTCCACCCCATATCGTCAGGAAATTTCCAACATGTCTTCCTGCAGGGAATTTGACCTATTGAAACAGATGTGACATGATCCTCGTTTTGCACAGGAAAACCATTCTGCACTTCTTGAAAAGGCCACTCACCTGCAGTCTCAGGTAGGAATGGCAGGGTCAGCCATTCCAACCTGAGATTGCAGGTGGGTGGCCTTTTCAAGGAATATAACAGATGTTCAAAGGATCTTGCCTCGTTAGCTCTTGATTATGTTATGTCGTGAGCAGTTTGTTTTACGTAAAGCTCATCAGCACTTTCCCCAGTGACGTTTAATTAGTGGGCATATGAATGCGAAGCCGGCAACCGTAACGTTTGAAATATAAAAACTTGTGAAAATAGATGAGCCAATTGCTTACGCATCGAATAAGCTTGGTGGACCACCAACGAGATGGAACGAAATGGGAGGGCGGCACAACATCTAGGAAATCAAGAGTGATGGAGATAATGAAGCAGTCAGTAGGTGCTCACGAAACGGTTTATGTGATAACATTGCACCTCAGCCTTCAACTTTTGGAAGAGTCGAAGGTCGAAGGATGTAAAGAGTTTCGACTACAAGAAAGATGTATTCGAGTGCAAGATGATCCGATGGCTGAGCTAGCTCCTTTTCTGTGTAGACGCATATACAGTTCCCACTAAAGGGGCTGAGTGATGCAACAGCAATACAATAGTAAGCACGATTCGAATAAAGCTCTACATGTATCCCTATCCGATATGAATCTGTACCTCTCTCATCACAAAGAGCACCGTTAGCGATCAACCCTGAAAAGGACTGACTCAAGAAAACAAAAAAAAAAAACGGAATCTTTAGTAGAGCGTGTGCGCGGAGAGGAAGGGAAGGTGTGATGGTGGAAGGAGGAGGGGGGGGGGCAGTAGGAAAAGTCTCAAAAGCTGAAAAGAAAGGTGTGTTAGCTCAAGTTGGGCACCTTTTATCACTTATCGCCTTTCACTCTGCCTCATTTTTAATGCTTCCTGCAATTGATCCAGTCTGATCCGATTACCAATCGTGCAAATGATATTAGAGTATTTTCTGGGACGGCTGCTTAAATATGGGGAACAGCTCAAAGAAACCGGAAAATCTCACTGATCTGGTACCCTTTTAGATGATAAGTTAGAGCAGCAACTGCGAAAAATTTTTCCGTAGTTATGCTATACTATGAAGCCAACTGAGACGTCTGCTGGCAGTTAATTGCAAAGACAAAATACGGCGCAGTGAACTGCAAGAGGAAACCCTATTGATACTCCTTCACAGAAGCCCCTTTCAAAGCTTTTCCGTTCTGAGAGGCAATGTAAAACAGTGCAGAGAACCCATACTTCAACATCATGCTCGTAAGAGCGATCCACTCCAGCAATACCTAGCCGGCTCCATTGTTTAACATAAAATTTCGATATCGGTTCATCATTACGAGGAAGTCAACTTACGATTCAGTGTCATAAAAGTTAATCCAGTGGTGAATCATTACCTGTACTATGTATATCTGTAAGTGAATCCATTTTTCGCAAACTAAGTGAAATCACGTTCAGTTAGAAACAAATCAAGTTTTTTGAAAACCGGAATTGATGAAGGTGATTGTCATTTTTTTTGACCACTTTTTTGAGATATCTTATCTTCAACTAACTGCAGTATTTCCTATTGGAGAAAAGCAAGTTCCCAAGAGAAGGTCAATTGAGTCTCTGGGCACAGCTCTCGAATAGAAGGGAAAAGTGAGAAAAGAAGAAGAAATGTTGACTTAAAAGAAAACGCATATGTAGCTGTCCTAGCATAAGGTTAGTGTTGGCAGAGGCGGCGCCGAATGGGTGGGTAGAAAAGGAAGGCGTGTCGGGTAGCCGGAAGCACAATGTTCCTGGTAAATTTATGATGTAAACAGAGAAGAGGAGACGTTCAATGAAAGCGGATGTCAACGCAGAAGGTGGCATTAATAAAAAAAATTAGGATAATAATTTTTGCCTAACAAAGTAATAAACTCATTGTTAAGGAGTAAACATTGGTGAGAGTTGTCGAAAACTCTTCTGCCGTTCGAGCTTCTCAGGTGAAACACTTTTTTAAGTTAACGGCCTACGTTTTGATGTAATCGTCGGCTTCAGAGGCGTAAACGTAATTCGAGATGGTTTTCACTATCCGATTGCGTTTGACACTCTAAAGAAAACGAGCCAAACCCATTTATTTATCTAGCGAAAAACGAACGAAACTCATTTTTTTGGTGGAGAGTCAAATGCTATCTGATAATGTGAACCATCTCGAATTACGTTTACGCCTCTGAAGACGACAGTTACGTCGAAACTTTAAGCCGTGAATCTAACAAAGTGTTCCACTGAGAAACCTTGAACATTAGAAGAATTTTTAACAACGTAAACGTCAATGGTGTGTTCAAAACAAGAGAGAGGCTGAAGAGTGAGAGGTAAGTGATACAGATCCACGAACAGTTTCTAGATAGTTGAAAGAAGGAGAGTTTTTGGAAAATTTCCCAATTTCCTTCGCCCATATCTCTTCCAACGTCTGGTTGAGTGTTGGATTCCCTCTTATTGTCCTTTTCATTTGATTTAGAGTGCAAATTTTATCATTTTGGAGAAGGGAAGTTAGAGACGGTGGTTCGTCTGGTGAAGAGGCGAAACAAGCCATCTTCAGTTTGTGTAGTTATTTTGTCTTTTTGATGTTCTGCTTATTGTCGTTTTTATACTCTACTGACTTCAACTTGTTGCACTCAACTTATTGTCCTTTTTCATTTGATTTAGAGTGCAAATTTTATTATCATGGGAAAGCGGCATGCTTTCCCATGATAATAAAATTCAGCTACCTTGTTAGAGGAAGAAAAAAAAGCAGTTGACGGCGGAAGGGGTCAGAAATCCCCAAAAAGGACAGAAGCTGTTTTGGAGATTTCTGATCCCTTCCATCATCTAGTTTTACACCAGAATGG